ACGGCTAACTTGACGTTTACTCCTCATTTGACTCTGAAGATGACTACCGCTAAGGTTGTCGAAACGTCAGTCAACAACAAAAAAAACAGTCCTTCTCAGGACTTTATTAACCTGGATGATCATCATTTACAAACATGTTACTTTCTTAGGTAATTATCTCTATACATCACATTTCACAATTTCAACGTATTACTTCCATTTCCTCTCTCAGGAGGCGGAAAATAAGGACAAAAAAAGACAAATTAATGGTTTCGACCCCCACCTAAACATTTTCAGAGAAAATTTAGGACTTACATTTTCATAAGTTACAATCCTCATACAGGTAAGTGTTCTTTCGTTTTCACCGAATGTATAAAAGCAAATTTTCTGCACATACGTTTTTACTTTTCCATCATAAATTTTGGCGTACTACGTATGTTTGTGTCTTATTAACATAATGTCAAATCTAAGTTGTTTGGGCCCATTTCTTGTGCAATATGTATAAATGTACATCATTAGACTATAATTTTGAACAATTTTTCTGAAAATAGTAATGATTTTTCTGCAATTCGTTTTTAAAAATATTACATTGTCATTTAATGCAAAAACGTTCTCTCAAATTTATTCTATTTTTACAAAAAAAAAAAACGCTTTCTGAAAAAAAATCTGCACAAAAATGTCTCTTTTGTTACGTTGCTTTTGAGTCAGATTGTGTGACAGGGAATATTTAATACTGATTGCAAAAAAATATAAACACCTCTTAAAAAAATTCTTTTTAATGTTTAAATTATTCAACAGCTTAATTCCATTGACGTAATTATATTAGCGTGCTTTAGATTTGCATTGAAATTCTCACGAAGACACGCATATGATATTGCAGTTAAGTTGTTCATTCTCTTTTTTGAGTCACGCAACGTCAACAAGAGTTGTGACTTATTAGGTTTGAGAAGCCAGTTAGAGAAATCATAGGACGTAGATGTGGCTATAACACGCCTTTTTAGAGATTGTACTTTATTCATCATGTTTCTAATAAATTTTGCTTCGTCAGGTATCAATGAGCCCAATTTATTCATCTTTTATGCTTTAACATATATCCAAAAATACTTTAGAAAATTCTCTATGCATGATGCCTTATAATACTTTTCTTGCATTTACGCAGCATAATAGAAACGCTTTACCTGCTGCTTTAATATTTAAATTTTAAAAATTGTTTGTGTGGGAGAATAAATTAGTTTTTTCTTCTAGCAGCTGAAAAGCTGTTTTGTAAATTTCTAATTGACTATATTTACAATGTATGGATCTCTGCAAAGTAAGAAATTTCATTATAATTTTGCTATTGTTCAACCGAATAGTTTTTGATATATTACAGAGTTATACTTTTACTAGTTGACAGAGGTCATTTTACTAAAATATGTTGTCACGTAGCAATGTAAACTATTTGTTACAAAGAATTCGTTGCTAATGTCCTTTTCTGTGGACATTTAAATGTGACTCAATCTATTGACTTCTCTTCAAACCATGCAATCACAGATCTGATGCAGAAAAATAACTGAACAATAAACACACGAAGAAATCTATTTGAAAAATAAGGCCAAAACTCCTTTGTTAAAGATTGACTGTTTTTTTGGTTTCGCGTTCATACTTTGCCAGCAAAGTAAGAGATACTTCAAAAAGTGACTTACTACAAAAACCAACCTATGCAACTATCTTTATCGAGCAGCTATGAACATGCCAACAAACAGACTAATCAAAGTGCTTGTTCAACACGACAATATCATAGAGCATGACACGTCATTTAAAAACAGATGGATTTAATTAAATACTTTGTAATGCAGGTCACAAGGTGCTTTATAGTGCTGCTATCGAAAAAATTCTTCCGCGAATACCTTTATGAACATTTGAAGAATACATTACCACCGACTTTCTCTTCTACTTCCCCAAACAGCTTGAGACAACAAATAAAGTTGATATTCTACGGAATATCTTATCTTGTATTCAATATAGATTCACTGGAGGATGTTATCGATTTTGACAAACTTTGAATAATTTATGGCTCGGAAAAGAAAATTCAAAATGTCCCAGTATACGACATAGCAAGCTTTTAGCGTTTATAAAGCCACTAACTGGTGTGACACATCTTATTTTTGAGGGTGCTACAAAAGAAAACTGCATTGGATGCCAGGAAATTAATTCATTCTCAACGGACTATAGAACCAAACAATTACATCGTCAGAAGAAAACATCACAATGCAATCTATGGACGTTATTGAGAGGTGTGTGTTGCTGTTGTTTCATCGAAAGAAAAGGAAACTGATACAAACTGATTAAATATGCATGCAAAGGAAAAGTCAGTGCAAGTACTTTAAAGGCAATCTGTATTTAAACTGCGCTTTGTAATATGACTTTTATCTATTGCATTTTTACGACAGCTGTACGACCAATTTCATATGAAAAATCAGTTTCGTCGTATTCACAATTTATTGATTGGAGCTTTACTGAACTGATTAGCAAATAGTTCACGTTAAATCGATGCAGACAAATGAACCTGTGAAACTTTCTGAATGTTCTGTTTTAAGAGCATGATACACTACTCAAGTTGAAAAAGCTAGATGTTAACAAAGTACAATATTTCTGGCAATAAACGCAGGAATTGACCAAGTGACCATTTTAAACAAACTGTTATCGGTGGATAACTTCGCGAGTTTTTATTGAATTCACTCAAATACATGCTTAAAATAATCGCTGTATGTTCCTTTTTCAAATAAACTTTGATTGGATAAATTTCGATACAATACAATGGCAAGAACTGCGAAAACCCTCATTTTGTAATACAATCTACATATCTTTTGCCCTGTTGACGCCGCCATATTGAATAATCATGATGGCCCAACGCGCACATATAATATGTACGTACCTATGACTACTACATCTATGGTAAAATAGATATTTTAATATGGCGCAAAGCTCAAATTTAAACACGGTAAACAATTACAGACTTGCATTGTCATGTTATATCGCAAGCTAAGCAAAGAAGATAAAAATTGAACATGCTTTGTATATTTTAACTAGTCTGAGGCAACGTATTTTAAAATCTCTGTTGTAAAAGCACTTCTACTTTGTTTTGAAAAAAATGCAGCAACCCTTATTCAACGTTGATTGTTATTCTTTCAATAATATTACACGACGCCTTTCCTTTATCGCGTTCCAGACCTTGTTGTGAGCAAAACGCGAGCGCCAAATTGTATTCGAGAAAATGCAAAATTCAACGCTTGAAACAGGCCTTATTATGCGATGCCCGATGTTACTAAAAGATGTTAGATACAACCACATTCACGTAGTGATTAGCCGCTGACCGTGCGAGTACGGGCAGATTAAGAAAAAGGTACGTATAGCGTACATATGGATTTAATTTTAAAAGACAAAATACTATTAACAAGTCTTCAATTTACCTATTGATATTATTCTAATTGAGAGTCAAGCACAATCCTTAATTAACATATTCATAATCACTATACATAAATTTAAAAGTTGCTTTTATCGAGGAGATAAAGTGAATTTAACTGAATGAAAATGAACTATTAGTTTGAAAATTTACGATAATCGTAAAACAGGGAAATGAGCAAAGATGAGCCTAACGTCCATGGTCCTAGCTTTATACTGTTCGATCACTAATGTTTTACTTTCTCCTACCTCTATGGTCCTAGCTTTATACTGTTCGATCACTAATGTTTTACTTCTATTCTCCTACTACGTCCACCGTCTTTATACCGGCTGATCTTTAATGTAATAATTCTACTCTCATCTGTCGAAAATCATTTGACTAAGAAACACACAACTTGAACAAAAATTTTTTATATATTCATAAATATACCAAATAATAATTGAAAACCATATTTAGGGTTGATACAGTATGAAAAAATCGTATACAGTCGAGAAACTTAGACACTTCTCAAAATCCAAGACCTCTTGTATGTGAAGACACATTTACGACCTTTCGTTAGCGGAGGTGAATACCAAAACAACTTTCACAAACAACATTATAAACTGTTGTAAGCGGTTGCACTTGATCTATTTTCAGTCAAATTAGTAATTATCCCGACTAATTGACATATTACAGTACATAAATAAATGCTGTTTTGTAATGCATGTAAATTCCTTCGTCTCCTTCATTTTTCTTAATGAACCACTATAGTTTCTTCTCCAGGTTTGCGCATTTATGTTCCTCAAAGAAAATTTTTTCATGTCATGTGAACTTTAAGCATTGTGTCTGTACAATGACAATATACATGATGAATTTGTTATATGATAACGTCTATGGACTCAAACGTTTCACTGTACAGATGTTGGACTTTTCAGTCGTTATCAAGCATATAATCATATTTCAAAACATTGTAAAAACAGTCATATTCAAAAAAATTTTTATAATTATGCAAAATTAACAAACATCTCATAAGCGGACACCTCCGACAACAGAACACCAAGTCTTGGTCTCAAGGGTGTCCTTTTACGGTAAGTTCGATTGCATTCATTAAATATAAAATGCTTTAAAACGTCTATGCCTATATAGAGTAAAGAATGTTCTGAATTTTCTTCCTTGATGTTTTCCATCGTTACAAACATTTGCTGGCACGGATGAAACTATCAAACACAATAGTGGTCATTTTACGAGCGTGATTAACACTATCGTATCTACGTCATTCGCATTGAATATTAAAGTTTATTACATGTTATTTTGCTATGACATGATTTCTTTGCACGAAATTTTCAAAACATGTCTCGCATACATTTTACTTTTCTTTCAAGGATTAGGCATGGAAATTTTTTGTGAGAGAAAATTTCTGGTTGTTGGTCCGTTATTCATGTGTATTCAGTTATTCCTGGCATTTGAAATGTCCCATGAAAACAGAGAACAGGAAATATTATACCGTGATTTTACGCTTTTAAAAGAATAAAATGCAAATTAAGAACTTTCAAATACACTAAATGAATGAATCGAAATCTTCCCAGTCACATAGACTTCAAGCAAGACAGACATGAAAGGTGAAAGCATGTACAGGATCGCAGTTAAATGTTGGGTTACCGTTGAAGTAACAGTCATTTTTGCTATTTGTAGCATATTTTATTATATTCCAGGTGAGAAACCTACGTTGTTTATATGTCACGCCTTAACCATAACAATCATTCGTTTCTTCGGTCATTTTTTCCTGTAATGCAGGCAAATAAGCTCAAGCTAAAATTTACAAACCTTACAGATGTAAAATTTTATAAACTAAATATACAGATAGCAGAAGTAAAAAGCTTGTAAGCTCTGTAAAGGGGCCCTAAAATTTAGACCTCGCAGAACAATGGTCAAGCTAGTAACGGTGGATCAAATTGCTTTTACAAGTTCACATAAAATTTCGGAATTCGTAGTTTAAAATGGCATATACATTATAGATACTCGTATATAGATATAAATGTAATACAATCTTATGTTAGACAGCTAGTTCATACGTATTTTGGGCAACATAAAATTTTGTGTGCATTTGGACTGTTCTTAAATTCAAATGTGGGCTTTGTGCTGCTTGTCCAATCAACCATAAAACGTTTTTCTAATCACATACATATTGTCTTGATAAACAAGTACGTCCTTTCACACAACAAAAAAGCCTTATAATGGTGCACTAACTCTCACACCAATATATGGCATCTCTTCCTTTTTTTCTGTCAAAATGATCATGATTAATGTTTTATGATTTTCATGAATAACTAGGTTTAGGGTTTGTGCTCGAGAATGGTATGAGAAAAGTGACGGGATTAAATATCCCTAAAACCAACTACTGGGAAACATTTCTTGGATGGGAAATGTTTAAGTCAGTTTGGAAATCAAGAGTTGTCGATATTACAAAGGAAATGCGAAACGGACTGGAGGCACAAAATGTTCCCTTGGTAACACCCGATGGAAAGAAATGTGTGCGTTTACTTGATTTACTTCAAGCTGAGAGAGCATTAGTCGTGTACTTTGGCAGTTGTAGTTGCCCAGTGTTTATGAATAAACTGAAAGAATTTGGTGTTATAGCTCAAGATTTTTCAGATATCGTGGATTTTGTCGTTGTATATATTGAAGAAGCTCACCCAATTGATGGATGGTCTTTCAAGGTAAATTCTTTTATTTCTTCAACATAATTTTGAATTGATGAAAATCGTAGAGTTATATTATAGCTACGTTATTCATTATGAAGAATAGTTTTTCCAGTATAACATGAAAGAAACGGCTACAGCAATTTCGTGATTTATAAAACATTCTTTGTATAACCATAATAATAATAACGAAGCATATAAATTTCATCAGGTAAAAATCTTTTGCAAACACTCATAACATTTTAGTAGGCTATATAGCCAGACAATATGTTCTGCTGACATAATAATAGCTTTTTTATCTTACTGATAAAAATGGGACCTTTTTCAAAGGCAGAAATAGTGAACTTCTGTTGAACTATACTTTCATTAGGCAAAAACAAAGATTTTGTTTGAAAAAGAATCGTCCGTTTCATTATTTGACAATCTTTTGTGTAGAGAAAAACATGTATTAAGATTTCTTGATAAAGTCATGAAGGAAGCTAATTTCACTTCATTTTAGAATAACTTTATCAAAGTACGAAAGCATCGAAATCAATATGAAAGATGCAAAGCCGCGCAAAAGCTACAAGAACTCAATCTTCCATGTCAAATAATGGTAGATACAATGGACGACAATGCAAATGTGGCCTATGGAGCGTTGCCTGAGAGACTCTACGCCATCGAAGAAGGTAAAGTCGCAAACGTGGGCGGACAGGGACCAATGAATTCATCAATGAAAGCAGCACGTGACTGGCTAGAGTCATATCGCGAGAAAAACACATTTAGAAGATGGACAATCTAACTCAGCGAGCAAGAACTGTACGGAATGCAAACTTCGTATAATGGCATTTTGACATATTTTGGCCTTGAGGTTGAGACTGTTGTTTCTTTATCCCAAAACATTTTTTAAGCGATTGACAATGCCCTAATGTATGATACGGTACAGATATGGCTGAATGGTTAATTGCGTGAGTTGCAAGCCAGACGGCGGGTTCAATGGCTCAGCACATCTGGCAATGTGTCTGTAAACCTCGCCCGGGTTGACCAAATCCATGTGAGGGAAATTTGGCAGAGGAAACTATGTCCTCGGATGGACTGTATCTGCATCTGCAATGTTGCAGCCTTGTCACAAATGTGTCACGCTGATATCAGCGTTGTAGTTGCGTGAAATGTACGAGTGATTGTAGTCTGGTCAGCTGCCTTCACTATAATTTAAGTAACCAGGATGTTCCACTTCGTGGAACCCTCATATGTCGAAATCGACGGAGTCCATTATTATTAATGTATGATAATGTACAGATATGGAAAAACATATTTCAAAAGTGAGATTTTTACAAGGATGCGTCGACAAAGGAACTTTGAAAACATATACACATGCATATTTTTCTTGTAACTTACAAAAGCTTAAAAATACAAGACAATGTAGGTTTCTATGCTTTTAGTATATCTAAACGTGGATCATGAATTCAATTGAAATGAATCGACTCTTAGGAGCAACCAAAGTAGAACATGCATATATATTTGAGATCACTGGGGATTTTTGGTCAAAACAGGCAACCGAGACAATTGAAATCTATCGCAAATACCAGTTTTTGCATGTCAATACTTGGGCATCATTTAAGGTTAATGGCAAAAGTTTTAAGTCGTAGGATAGACATGCAAACCTGCCACTTTTAAATCATTTTATAGACAATAGTGATGGAATTTAGTATGGATAAGTTTAAGGAGCGAGTATTGAAAGACATATAATTGTATTACGTATTGTATACAAAATGAATCAGAAATAAGTTTGAAAAGGTAGAAACATTTTTATGAGGTACAGTTAACGCTCTTGATGGTATTTGCGTGAAAGTTATATACTTAATGTAAAAGAGAGAACCAATCAATTTGTCTGCCTTACAATTTGTAATTGACCGTATAATTTCACCATTCAACTGTCAAAAAGAACTGCTCAATTTTCTTATTTTATTTGGGAAGACGTTATAGCCTATAATGCAAATTTACATTCTGTTGTTAATCATATTTAACCACGGTTAGATGTCCTACAACAGTCACAAATGACATTTGACGTATATATATATGTTTGTAGATGTAGATCACCCATGACAATAAAGTCCTAAGAAGGACTGTTCGTGTTGATGTTGACTGACGTTTCGACAACCTTAGCGGTAGTCATCTTCAGAGTTCCCGGGTTCAAACCATTCACTTTAAGACATATATAGTCGAACTTCATTCCAACAGCACTTAGTGAAAGAAAAATTATTTAGTTGATAAGAAGAATCTAGACAAGTTACTGAATTATACGTCCAAAGCCAAGAATCAATGTTGAATGTCGTGGAATGGTATTGGTAAGGTCGAAAGATCAATGCTACTCCAAAAGCGAACTAGCTAGTGAAGTGGGTTACAGCTAAAGAAATGTCAGTGACTATGTAGCGAGTAAGAACTGTGGAAACTATGGTCCAAAACTAAAATCCCAAGAATGAACAGTGGAGAGTATCCACATTGCTTGGGAAATTATCACGTGAAAGCCTAAAATCCTTCATAGGTATATAGCATGGCTGGAGGAAGGCTTACCAAATACTATTTAGTTGGTGGTTTTATAGATTGACTTTACACTCTCCAACAATTGGCCATAACGACATGTTTTTTTTTTTAGTGTATAATTACAATGTTTATTATACATTGAAATATTTACAAATCACCTACAACTCATTTCACATATTTTATTAAAACAGAGATAAAATATTTTGGTGTAAGTAAGTTGTTATTGAGAAAGCGTAACGTTATTGCGATGTGGTTTAACCTTATGTTTTCTTGATAGTCCTACACGTAATGGCGGACCTGGATTCTTAATTTTAACTCCGCCAAGAAAAAAAGAACCGCTGGTTTTGTTTGTAAACAGTTTAGGTGAAGAAAATGTTGAGATTTTCCTCTCATTTTTCATATGCTTAACGCTCTCTTTAGAAGAATTTATAGGTGATGACTTTTTCTCCTTTGTACCAACGCAAGAAAATGTGGAAATTTTCCCTTCATTTTTCAAATGTCCAAAGTTCTCTTTGGAAGAATTTATAGGTGATGACTTTTTCTCCTTTGTACCATCAACAGGGGTGCATTTGTAGTCGGATGACTCTTTTTAAAACAAATGTGTATAAAATTTGTTATTATAAGCACTTGTCAGAAGAAAAACTAATAAGAATAACACGAAAGACAAGCTGCGAGCAAATGCAATTACGTGTGTATCAAACTGTTTTGAGATTTTGATTGTATAATCATGCCAACTGCATTTTGGTTATTTCATTATATGCAATTAGGACACTTGAAATCAATGACAATTTTTATAAATACAAAAATAAAAGCCTACCGGAAAACATATGACTCCCACCAGACATTTTCTTGCCATTCTTCAGGTTCACAATTTTCTCTTCATTGGAATCACTTTCGACATCATTGTCATGAATCTTGTTCACTAGATTAAATGAGTAAAAGAGCAATCAGCATTATATGTACATGGTACTGCATCTTACATAATAATGATCAAGTATTTTCATTTTGAATCACACACTACAATACCATGCAAAAAGTCAATTAGAAAGTTCATCACACCATTAAAAGTAGTACTACATGCAACACATCACTATCTTCATAGGTACATCACTATCTTCATCCATACATCACCACCTTCATAAATCCCCACTCCACCTTTATGTATCCCCACCCTACCTTCATACATCCCCACCATCATACATCCAAACCTTCATGCATCCACAAATTGACACACCTTCATCCATACATACCTTTATCCATACACACCTTCATATGTCCGCACTTTTAAACATTCCTAATTTTAAGGCTACCCAGTTATAACTGTGATTGATGGATAGATTCTACTGTGTGCCTAAATTTAACAGTTAAGTTCAGACCACTAAGAGTGGTGACTAGTTAACAAAACTCTGAGAAAATCCTTCTCTGTCCTCATTTAGGTCAGTATAACAAAATTGTCATTTTCAAAACTTGTGCTTTTGACTGATTACTCTGTAAACATTATGAGTTTAAAATTAAGGGCTTTGTGATGGGGAAAAGAGTCTTACTAAAATGTGAATTTGAGGTCAATGTAAGACAGCATTATATAATGCTTAACAATGAAAAACTTTAAAATTCTAAAATCATTGTTTGAATTAGATTTACTTCATTACTGCATAGATTAGGGCAGCTTCCCAACCTTTTTTCCTCTTTCATGATGTAATCACTTTTCACAGTTTCATTTATAATTTTACATACCGATACCTTCACTATTTATTTTGATATGACTGCTTTCATTTTGTCCAACATCATTATCCTTTCTGTCATAAGGTGTATTTATTAGTGACATTTCAATTGCTTTTTCTATATCTCTTTGGTACAACTTTTCACGAACGGAAGGCCTTACAATAGAAAAAATCTCATGACGTTGTTGTATCACACATTGAAGAAATTAGTGTGTACATTGGATTACACAAGGCAAAACAAAGGCTTATAAAGGATTAGAGATCTACTATAATATCTGTGTAAAACAGCATGATGCCCTTTAGCCAAAATTAAAATCTATTTTGGGTCACACCTTCTCTCGCCTTTCTTCTCTTTGTTCATTTCCTTCTCTTTATGCTTCGCCTTCTTTGTTTGTGGTTCAAAATCAACTTCAAAATCATCTGAAACATATCATGAAGTCATAAATACAAAAACTTAGCAATTTAAAACAAGAGAAATCTATAGAACATGCAGGCATGACATTGAAAAGGAAGTAAAGTATGGATCCCCGTATATATTTATTGCATATCTACCAAATTAATAATCTCAACTTTTTCACAATAAAACAATGTAAAATGTTTAATAGTGCACTAGATCAATCATGCAGCCAGTAAATAATTGTAAGGCCTACATTCACATTTGTTGCATTAGTATTTTTTTGAACAGTGTCAATGTAGGTACATGTAAACTGATACAATATAAAATGTACCCTTCTCCTACCTATGTAAACCAGAGTGTATAACCACATACTTTACTGTAAATCAGAACAATTATTATTTTCATTAATAGCTACGTAGCTATGAGATCACTGTATGTACAATACATTACCATAACTTTCACAATTGGAGCTCATATCAGTATAATTAACATTTTTTCTCCCTTTCCTAAAAGAGATGATGGTGAAAAATAAAACATGAGTAATGCTAAATGCTTGTAGATGTAGATCTTCAAGGCTCGAGCAGTCCTGAAAATGACTGTTGGTGTTGTTAATGATTGATATTTTGACATCCTTTGATCATCAGAGTCAAGTAACACACCAACACCAAGAATTCTTTTCAGGACTGCACAAAGCTGGACGATCAACATCTAAAAAATATAACATAATAGGCAATAAAAAGTATAAATTCTAATATGAAAATCGTCCCTGTTTTATTAATCACCAATATTGTCAACCAACAGTAAAACATGTTTCACCCATATGCCATACCATAGTATTGATAGTACAAATTGGAATCAAGTGACAAATTTTAGAATTCTTACCTTTTAGATTTTCGCTTAAAGGTCATCTTTAATGCATATTTACAAAATTAAAAATTATGCTATCAGAGAAAATACTAATGAAGTTAGGATTCAAGTTCAACTTCTCGTGGTTTTAACATGATTTTTATTTTGTAGTTGAATAATCTTATAAAGTTTCGCGCCTTGGGGTCATTACACTGGATGACATCATTACACTGGAAAATGCATTTTTGTGTATTTCTTTACTTTTAAACTCATAATAGAGCTTAACAAACAGTGATACATTATTAAAAAAGTATTTTTGTCTTGTTGAAACACTGCTTTAGGCTTTTAAATTATTTAAATCAAAGTTTGCTTTTGCATAAAGACCTTGGCACCTGCAAGAGGGGGTAAGACATATTTAAGTTTCCGTTGCTAGTAATCGTAAAGAATGTCAATCACAACAAAGATACCACCTTTACAGCTAAAAATTTACCATACATTGTCAAGATTATCTTTAATAGAAGAATTTAATTTCCTGCGAAAGATGAACGATTGTCTGCATATTATCTACAAGTACAGCTCGTATTTTGGCACTTTTACGTCGAATTTCTTTTGTTTTGTCTATATATAACCAAGGAAGGGAATGGCGCAAGCATCACAGCGCAAAAAAAACGGTATATTTGTAATTTTCCATGAGATGAAAAGATTTGTTCTTGTAAAGCAAGTAAAAAATTGTAAGCCTGGACTAAAAAATATTATACGTAACATAAATTCAATGAGTTCTCTTGTTGGTCGAGTCCTGTGTTTAAATCAGGCCATCAAAACACCGAAATTTAAATACCCAAAATGAAATTTAGAATTTTCTGAATATTTTTTTTAAGATCTATCAGAATAATTAACACCAAATTGTGTTCATGTGTACTTTAAAATACAGATCACGACAGAGCTCAAGAGCCATTACTACTTTTCAGGAAATGTTAGGGATGCATTGAGCTATCATAAAGACACGGCGTTTTCAACAAAAGATTCCGATGATGAAGGAAACTGCGCTGCTTACTGGCAAGGTGCTTGGTGGTATAAAAAATGTTATTATAGCTACCTAAACGGTAAAAATCTTGCTTGGCTTGGTTTTAATAACGTGAAAACCAGTGAAATGAAAATCAAACCATGAAGAATTTTTGTAAATATTTATGATTTCATGACAATAATCAATATCAATGACAATACGTCATGTAATATGTCTTAAACATTTACACTCGTTGTTTACTATGAGAAAATGTGCAAAAAATTGGTATAGATAGAAGTCAAGAAAACTGTAATCATTTCATGAAATAATAAAAAATATTGTTTCAATCAATGATGTTCATGAAACATGAGTTTCTAACATGTTTATCTAAATGAAGTTGATGTAATCAAATCATACTCAAAACGACTGCGGCTTTTTGAGTTTGTAATGTGACTGTTTTCGTCTTCGTGGGCATAAAA